GACCTCGGAAGCTTCAAATAAGGCGAAGACTCTCATGTGATGTCCTAAAGATAAACCTTCCTTATTTGATTCCCGTGCCCAAGGGTCAGATTAGAAACACAATGATCGGAGTTAAGTTCGAGGTTGATTTTGCCTTAACGATGCATTTTTACCTTCCTAACGGTTAAAAGCATTCACATATAATCAGAAATGATTTATTTATCAAACCACACCTAATTCCCAGTGAACGAGGATAAAAGCTAATTTTTAGAACTTTTCCCACTTCAAAACGCAGATTTATTATTTTATTCAACAATTTAGAGGCTTCTTAGTGATGACAGCTAAGTGGTTCTGAATTTTGCTAACGACGTGTCTCTATTAGCAGTCTGGAAATTGGATTGACCCAAATTCAAAAATAAAAGGGAAAAATTTGGTTTTCAAAACCTCCCTTTTATATCATGTAATCGGCTAAATTTCTTGTTCATCAGATTTCGAATTTGATTTAATTGACAACCTCACGCTATCACTTATCAAGAAGTCAATAGCGAATAGCCTAGGAACTGGTTGTGATGGTGGGATAAAACTCGCATAAAGATGTACGATAAGAAATCTCACGATGAAATCATTGTTTTAAATATGCAAATAAAGTTTTTCGTTCCTATCAGAAATAAAACGAGCACAAGTTGGCAAAGAGCGTTCCAAGGTGCTCTAATGGAAAACCTGATTTAACGTAATTAATTAAAGCAAATGGCTCAAAATATATCCACTTGTGTGAATGATTTGATTTACCAGATGAACCTCCATAAACTCCAACAGCCTTCAATAAAGGATAAAATATGGCATGATTTGTACGAAATGAATGAAAAGTATTTAAATCATCCATTCAGATGTTGAGTGATATCAGAAGGACTTTCTGAGAGGGTATCAATAAAACATTTTCCCACCTACTTCTCTAGGGGTACGCGATTTACTTGCCTCCGCGTGGTGCACTCTGGGCAACGTATATTGATGTGATAAAAAGTCAATTAACCGGCCGTTGACTTCTGCCTTCAAAGTACCTTGACCGACTGTATATCATATTTAATCACTTCCACAGAACTCACCTTACTTTTTTCTCTACATTTGTGTTCGTCTCTTTTACATCCATGAATCACACTTCTTTCCCCACCCCACACCACCTAGCGACTTTGATGTTCCTCTCTCTGTGAAGCCCGAAGTCAACTAAAGTGATTATGATAACTATCATAAAGCCTACTATTTGATATAGATAAAAATAAATATATAAAAACATCACAAATTCAATGCGAAGAATAAATAAATGCTGAGATGTTATTTAAGACGTTTGCGACGTTCTTGCTATGAATAATAGGCAATAACCACATTTGAAAATATGTCATCAGGTCTATTAAAAATAACAATAGTCATTATCATGCAGGAAAAAGGGAAAGTACTCAAGAAATTTCAGGAATAAAACTTGCCCAAAGGAGGGGATTTAATATAAACATAGCGGCAAACTCTATCACTTGACCAATTTTCAAATTTGAAAAGTGATAGATGTAGACACCGACTATCGTCGATCCCATTCCAATGGATAAGATAGTCAACCACGTAGATTTATTTTGAATTAAACAATCACATATTACCTCGATTGCACTCGAATTGAGTGTAGTCAACAATTTCTGAATCAGTTGGAAAAATCAATGTTAAGTAAATAAACAATCACATGAACTCAAGTGCAAGCGATTGTGGCCATTGAAAAAGGCATCTGGAAATAGTTTGGAGCTTAAAAGAGTGCGCGATTAAGTGGACAATAAGAGAGCAAAATTATTTTATAATTTGTTTTATACAGTATTTTATACAAAAGTTGTGATAAAAAGCATTTCAATTGTCTTTAAGAGGGTACTTCAAAGTAATATTGACCGAAGTTCAGAGATTCTCTTAGAATATCATCCAACTGGAGGTAGGTACGACTTGACTCTTGCGTAATTTACTGATTGACTTCGAAGCTCTACAGCCGTGGAAACGTTGGGCACTTCCCTGTTGGATGACTTAATATTTGGAGCTTTAAAAATGTCTATAACCAGAACCATAAAATAAGATCTATAAAACTCTTTTGTCAGAGCTATGTTTATTTGAATGGAGGTACAAGCGAAAGCTAGAGTCAAGGAAATTAAAAACGTAATGTAACTGTTGGCCGGTTTACAATTTCTACTCTTCAGGAGTGCCAATTTTTGTTGACGACAAATTTGGTCTGAGCCTATTTGAACCACCATTATACTGGTGTAGGTTTTCACAAACGAGGGCCTTGATTAATTTATTTTTCTTTTTATGGGGTGCGCGATAGACTTATCTCCACGTGGTGCACCCTGGGCAACGTATACCCATACGACAAAAAGTCTGTTTTTCGGCAGTTGACTTATGACTTTAAACTACCATGACCCCACAGTATGTCAATTTCGACCACTTCAACAATACTCATCTTACCTATTCTCGGCATTTGTGTCCATCTGTTTCTTTACATCTATGAACCACTCTTCTTACTATGATGTTCCTCCTCCCTGTGAATTCTGATGTCAGTTAAAGGGTTAGTGATAACTATCAAAACGCCTGCCATTTGAAATAAATAAATATTTCTTTTTTCTTATATCGTATATAACAAATGTGTTTAAATTCTTCCTGTTAATAGAAGACGCATATCTTAAACTATGGAAGTATTACGCTCTTTTCTTTAAAGGTAAAGGTCGACTTGTTGATTTAATTAATGTCATAATGTTAGAAAGACTGGATTTCACAGCTATGAACTATGTATCCGTCAGATATTTCTATTATATAGTTGACCCAGATCCGAGAAAATTTCAGTTACTTTAGGAGTTTCTACAACTTTCAACGATAATATTCAAGGAAAGGCTCAAATTTGTTTTGATCTTGAGCTTGCATGTAACTCCAAATTGATATGTGCTGGTGAGACTATTGGGAAGATGAATGTCATACTCCATAAAAATCGCATTGAGTTCGTAAACTTTATTCTTCTTTGTTAGTGTCAATTCACTTAGAATAATCTCTTTAATCTAATCTAAACTCGACAGCATAATTTTATATTGAAATTCGAAGTCAACTGCCCGTGAAGCCCGAAGTCAACTAAAGGGCTAATGATAACTATCTCTGAAGCCTGAAGTCAGCTAAAGGGCTAATGATAGCTATCATCGCCTGCCATTTGATATAAATAAATATTTGGTAAACAGGGGTATGAATAAGTAATGAAATTCGATTTACACTACAAATAGAGGCAGTAGAAAGGAGATTGTGAATAGGGTTTGAATACCTGCTTTTATGAAAATGTCCGCCTCACACATAATAAGCTGGAGGTGTGTTGATTGAAAAATCAGAATTTTGGAATTTGGAAAGAATAGCCAAGTTATATAGAGAAACGTTTACAATCAGCAAAACAAAATTATTTAAATTCAAGTTATTATTAAAAGATCTGAAATTTTAAAAAACTCCATGTTTATGGTGCTATATGATATCCTTTTCACCAACATGTTCAACTCTTTTCCATTGATCCTGTTGTATTTCGCATCACTTTATGAACAAAATGTTGTCGCTTTAGAATTCAGATATTCTTTCAAGTGATTTTCGACTTTGCTCACGAATGGAAGTTATTTTTCTATTAGAGTATGTTCCATAGGCCTGAAATTGACGGATGCTGTTGGAATTTTTTCCTGCTTTATGTGCTCGACATGCATTTGCCATGCAGAAGAATCCTCTCTTTTATGCTTAATGGAATCAGATGCATACTTTTCTTTATTTTCGATTTTGTCTTCCCTTTTATTCAAACAATGAACTTCGAATGAGAATGTTTCGCTCTGTTTAAGCGGGTCATAATGGTCTATCTCACGTACATCCAAAGAGTGTTTAAAGAGGTTTCCGAAGGGTTAACCATAGCTTGAGTATTTGATTTAAAGACAACTTTCGTTCTCCACACTTATGTTTCCATAGACAATCCACTTCTCAGCCTCATTTGCAAATGGCAATAATTAGACAAATTCTTCGTTTCAAAGACAACAGACGAGTGTGTGTTGTTCTCCACTTACCTTTGGCACAACTGAAGCATTTGACAAGGCAGCAGCAAAACTTAGATCCCCTTCAATCTAGCTGTGAGATTAAAGTGTAATTGCACGAAAGACCGCAGTATTTCTGTCATAATTCATATAATGTGAATCGATGATTTTATAAAACTAGAAACTTTGATACGCATCATCCACATTCATAGTTAATCCAAATTTTGAGCTACGCCACAATTCCTATTGTCCGAGTTTAATCTTTTAAGTCAAATTGTTCATAAGTTTAAGCAATGGTTTAGCAGCAGTCCTAAGGCGTTCAAGAACCGATGAAAGCAAAGCAAGATGCAATGCATGCCAAATGTGTTCTCTGCTTTTCTCGGGGTTATATATTCTTTCCTTTAATAAGCAAAACTGGAATTTATTGCAAATAAGCTAATCAAGTGTCTACCAAGAAAAATTGACTTACAACTTTATTTCCTTTACCGTACTTGGATACAAACTGAGTTCAAATACCAGTTTGTAAAGTGCGTGGTTTCCTATTGGTAATATTAATATAGTACTGGAACTTCAACGGTCCCATAGAGTGCGAGATGACAATGTTTGCATAATTAATCAAAGAATCTGTTCAAAAGAAGTCTTATATCAGTAAATAATTAACAATAGCATGTACGAAACATGTACAGTTGTTAATCGTGATATTCTTGCAAACGATTATTAGTTTATACAGAAATTCAGGCACTACAACCGTTAATTCTGCTGCGGAATTGTGAAATATAGCTAACTACCATTAAAGTGACTTCTTCGTATAAAATAAAATTACTTGCAAATTTATTAATCACCAAAGTCGGTTTGTTTTCAGAGATATTAAAAGGAAAGTATTTATTTAAGCATAATTATAGAGTGGGATAAATGTACAAAAAGGGAAGGCACCAAAGAGCATTTCGATTAATAAGAAAGACATCAGCGTCTCTGTTGACATTGAATAAACTGTCTCACAAGCCGATAAGTAAGACTCGTATGTACCGTTTCTATAACAATTCCTCGAGGTTGTTGAGGTGGCCGCCCCTCCATATCCTCTCCATCTTCCTCTAACAGCCTCTGTTGTTGACCTCTTGTCGGTCTTCCACACAGATATCGGCGCAGTTTCCTTAGTTGTGTCGTGACATTCCGGAAGGAGCAGAAGTTCAAAACACACCGATAATTCAGAATCAGGATAATAAACAATCCAGCAAGCAGGAGAAAGCCGAAGTATTCACGGAATAATTCGACGCGTTCATCCATGGGATTAGGGACAAGTTTGCGATCGACAGAATCGCTGGCGGAAGGAGGGGATTGATGACATTGAAAGAAGCTAGAAGAATCCTTGTTGGGAAATTTTTTCTTGAGCGGAGATAAAGGTGGGCGCAATAACAGCGATTGTGGTCCAAGAACTCTAAACGAAATTTATAAAATAAACAATTGGATAAGATATTTACATGAAATTGAAGATGGGATAAATACGATTAGTAACTAATTAAAACAACGTACACATTTGGATAAAAATATCTCAAAAAAATGAAAGAGGGATTATTTTCCCCTCGGATAGAGAGGGAACGTGGGGGGGGGGGTGTCTGCTGCGTAGGCAAAGGAAATCTGTCGACATCGAGATGGGTTTTGTATCCCCGAGATAAAAAACGTAAACAGTCGAGAAAATGGACCGCATGTTCAAAGGAAGACCATGGCGATTGTGATCAGTAAAAAGAACCAATTAATAAGACAAGATATTAATTAACAGTCACTTAATAAAGAAAAGCGTTTAAATAAACTTTGTGAAGCACTTTTACCACCCAAAGTGTGAGAAAAAATACTTTTCGCGTCGATATAAATAGTATAACATTGCTTATTTGGCGAAGGGGAGAATTTTAATTATATTGAATAAAATAAAGAAAACC